TCTGAGTCTTTGACTATGTAGGACATGCAGGTCCTCTCTGCCTACTGGCCAAGGATAACTATACCGGTAGTATATCCCCTCCTATGCCTCCCATACAGCTCCCCTCAAACAATACCTCCCCTCACAAGTCCTCATTCGATCATACACTTAGAGGAGCCCTTTGCCCTTCATTATCTCCCCTCTCCAGCCAACGAAACGATGGCCATTTGCGGGTGTATGGCAGCCGGGAAGAATTGCAAAAACCACTGGGTGCGGAGCTCTCCTAATACCGACATTAGGACTAGATCCGAAGATATAGTGCCCCTTCTGAAGTGTTCGAAGAGGCCGGCCAGCTGGGCGCTGCAGACTTGCGGGTACCTCGGGAAATTCACCCTCTGCCTTTTTAGCCTCCTTCCAACTCCTTCCCGAAGGTCGTGCTGAAATGTCAGAAAAGTCTTGAAAGAGTGTGATTGCTGTATAGTAGCTTAGCCTAGCTTCTTTTGTAACGTCCAGGGCGCTGGGGAGTGCCGTTGACTCATCGACAAAAGAAGCCCTCCTGGCTAATTAGCCGAAATCTTAGTCCTGGCGCTCACAAAAAAATCCAAAGTTGAAAACTCCTCGAAAATGTCAGTCTCAGGGTGCTCTTCAGAGACCTCTTTCCCCTCTCGCTCCTCATCTCAGCCGCCTGTCCTTCCTCAAGATGTATAAATCCATTAGAGCAGCAGTCCCCCATAAACCAAGACCCCAACTTTGTATAATATGACTTAATTTCCTCCCTGCGGGTATACGTAGCGTCGTAAATTTGTAGTGAGTGATGGTCGGTAATCAACGAGGCAAGCTCCTGTTTGCAATTGGGGTGACGCCTTTATCGGTCGGCGAGGCGAGAGGATATGTGGTTAGAAAGAGGTTGAGGACTCAGAAGATAATGGTGAATGCTGCATGGTTGAGAAGTCGTCAAATGAAGATATGCATGTGTTTGCTTTCAAATTCGATTCGGATGCGATTCTTCATGGCTATCCCAGATATGCAGAGCATACTGAGCGATTATACCGGCACCACTGGAAGGTGAAGAATTCGTCTTTGCCAGCTATCTGGACCTTCTATTGCGCTGCAAACTACTTCCGGAACTAGCTTTACCAAGATAGGCGAATCATCGTCTTAATGCAGCAAGAACAGGCCACGGGGACTATGCCGACTGCTATCGACGTTACACCCCCGAACATGAAGATCTAAAATGCGTTTGCGGCCGGGAGAAAAGGCCGTGGCATTATTCAGCGTGCCGACCTGCTTTGCAACGTCGGAGAGGCTGAGAGAAAATGGCTCCATTTGGGGCCAGGGAAATGAAAGAGGATGAGGGACGGCAGGAGTTCATCCAATTCTTAACCACAAGCAGATGTAACAGTCTGCCGAAGAATGAACAGGGTGGGAGGTGACGATGCTAAGATTGTTTCTATCTCGAGAGGAGATTAGTATGGAGGATAGGGATGCTGCGCAGGACACCGCAACTCAAACATTTACTGAACCTTTTTTTTTCATTTCTGTTGGGTTTCTGGCCTTATTGCCGTTCATGTAGGTAGCAATGAGCTCTCAGAGCTCAGCTACCAGTGTCACGTCTGAATAGATGTTGGGCTCTTCCTGTTACCTAGAAAATTTCAAATTCAAATTCAAAATCAATGCATTTGAGGGATTTATAGACCCAACTTTAACTCGACAGAATAGAAATAATTGAATTTTTCATAGACTGATGGACTGAGGGAGAACTAGATGATCATTTCTCCCGGCAGCTAAATAATATCACTTTTCAATAATCAATCACTAGTCTGTGTACAGCACATTAAATCTGGAACATCTAATCAGGAGACCTAGACCTCCGTTCATCCTCTTAACTAAGTTTCCTTTATATATAAATAAATATACAAGTCTTACCCATCGCGAGATCATGCGCAATAGAGTATAGCGAGACCTACTGTGAGCATATATTCCCCAATAATATCCATCGTCCTACTCACATATAGCCTAGTTATTACAACATTACGAAAGTATATTCCTAAGATAAGTCCTTCATCTCTACGCCATACAACTGTGAACCGACACTACCTGCTGGTATCCTGATACAGTATGGGACTTGTGACACCATGACTGAAGTACAGCCCAATGCCGCTTCAATCCTAATATTTTCCTGCTGGAATGAGCCTGCAGCTCCAAGTATTGATTCTCGAAGCACGTCTTACGTGCACTCTGGTGCTAGGTCTTATCGAAATTGGTTCATTGTGGATCCTAAACGTAGCAGGCTACGTAATGTAACATAGACTACTAAGTGCGGTTAGCCTATAACTAGTAAGCTACGCACAAAGTGTAGATTTCGGAGTTGGGAGTTAGGAGGAGACATAGACAAATTTATTAGAACTCAAGCTCAACTATTGCATTCTGCGGAACTAGCTGTAGTAGAGCCACGAGTTATATTTGTCACCATCCTGTTTCAATTGTGATCGATCGAAATCCACAGCTCTGCGGTAATTACCATAGTGTAGATGATATCATCTAATAGATAACGTATTGTGAATGAATGAATGAATGACAGGCACTAGCCTAGCGCTCCGAGAGCGTCAAACAGAGAAGGCTAGTCCCTCCCCGACGTCTGTAAACGAAGATAACTCAGTTTGATAGTTGGACCACTCTTGTAGTGGGTACACTCGCCAATACCACTCGAGGCCTTTGTGCTTGGGAATTTCACCCTCCCCTAGTCCATTAATATCCACCAAAGTCAAAACTTGAAAGCCCAGTAGCTACCCTAACACGCCTTTGCCATCTTGAACACAGCAATGGTACGAGATATCGCCCCTTAGCCCTCCATTTCTCGAGTAGGGTACGCGTTCAGGCTACCAAGACTTTAATTCGGGGACATGACGACTAAGAGGTGGATTGAGACACCTTCCACCATTGCCTGTTTTTAGAGTGTCGGTAGCACCATCCGTAATCTAAGCCTCTGCGCCCACAAGTAGCCCAAAGTCAAAAACATTCGAAAAGATGAGTCCCAACATGTCCATTTGTGACCTCTTGTCAACCTAACCATGACCTGCATCCAAGGCGATGTGAAACCGACAAGAAAGTACATATAACCCTGCGGGCTAAGTGCGCCAAGATCTCACGTGAGGCACACTGAGCTCTAAACGTTTTACCTGACGTTATCTGTGAAAATATCCTGTAACTGTTTCTACTCATGTAATCATGTACGAGTCATATTCCTGTAACTATCTATATTCGTGTTATCTACGACTCGTAAACTTGTACTAGTATTAGTCACTCCTGACAGTCGCTGTTTGCGATATTGGAACTAGTCGTGTTATTACTTCATACTTAGGACTATTTGACACATTAAGCTTGCACAATAGTATGGGGAGATTATATTGTCTGTACGTGGGTGATCAGATGAAGGACGGATGGACTTGTATTTAAAGAGAGATGGAATACTTCATAAAAATCAATCAATCACATTTCTTCACTCTGAGATAAACTTCTTAGTCCCGATTTATCGACAACTCTTCCCTCGATCCTCTCAGGTCCCGGCTGCCAGCTCTAGCTTAAGTTTTGAAGCCCCATTAGATTTATGGTCTCTTACAGACCAAGACCCGAGCTTTGTAAATTATCACTTAATTTCTTCCTCGCCGATATGCATAACATGGTATCTTTGTTGTGGGGGCAGGCCGGTTTTTGGTGAATAATTTCCCGATTATAATTGGAGTGAAGCCATTATCGGTAGTTGAGGCGAGCCGGTGTGGTAAGATTGAGGTAGAGGATTCACTTGAGAATGATAGATGTAACACACACGAGAAGTCATCGATTTTAGATATGCTAGGTGTTGCTTTCGACTTCGATTCGGATGCGATTCTTCTTGGCTCTCCCAGATATGTAGAGCATGCCGAGCGATTACACCGGCTACATTGGAAGGTTAACAACTGGTCTTTCACAGCTGATTAGAGGGAGTAATGATGTTATTTTAGGTCTGTGTTTGGATGGGCGCGCAAGAAAGCACGTGCCCCGCATATCCTTTTGGAACAAAGGACGTTATAATCGCATCTCAAAAGAATCTAGCCATAGACCCAAAATCTACTTGCTGTGCGACGTTGTTTGAAACTGCCCAGATATTTCTGATATGGCACTTGCCGTTCTGAAAGTAGTAGATCATCCTCTTCTTATGGCTGTTGATTACTCGGCCCACTCCCCCGCCTCTTCCTGGAGCGTCAACAACACAAAGAAAGGGCCTAAGCAGCTTTTCCTGAAAACTTCTGTAAAATCTGTAAATCATGTGACATTTTTCTGTGTAGATATATGATTTGATCTCAGACTATTCTTCGCACACAAGCTCTCATCACAACCCATCTTTTTTAACAACTCACGTTCTATCAACTTAGCTGTCCAAGCCAAACTTCTAACATCACTACATCATGAAATGGATCAGTTCCAAGATATTTCCCTCCACCATGCCCAGAACCCAATAAAAGATATAATCGATCAATTTATTGAGGATTATGAAGAAGAGGAAAATAAAACTGGTAAAGTCCCAACCTAGATACTACAAATCGCGCTAACAGAATAGCTATTTCTATCATGTTTGTCCACTTGTTTCTTTACACCCGTAAAATTGGCGCCGATAGGAGTTTGAGGGAACTGAGCAAGCTTTTCGATGATGTCTTGACAAGGATCAAACAAGAAAACTTTCACTCTCCGTATTCCATACACTGATTAAAGCAATTGAATCAAAGACGGAAGAGCAATTTATCTTGAAATCGGCAATTTAAATTACCCTAGCAAATCCACCTGAACCAACTCAAACTCAACCTAGAAATCTCCTCGAACCAACTCAAACCCAATCTAGAAATCTCTTACTCTTGCCGAAGCCGTCCCACATAACCCTCTTGCAAAGTATTTCAGAATCTAAAGGTTATGATCAGAACATCGCTTCACTCACTGCCGAGCTGAGAAATAAACCCCAAGAGAACGTCACCTCCGGTATCAAGAACATGTGGTCAGTATATTTTGAGGGGAAAAAATGGACTCCTCAAACAAAGTGTATTTGGCAATCATATAAAGAGTATGATGAAAGCCTGCAACAAAAAAGCTTCCAACAGAGAATGAGTGAAGATCAAACATGGACTTGGTTGAAAATGTTCAAGGAGAAGTTTTTGAAAGGGATTCCAGTCTCTGGGACGAGACCAACAACTGAAGTTTCTGCTGTTGGCAGAAAGACTAAACTGTTTCCACTGAAAGGACATTACTGTCGTACAGTAGGACCAGGACAGTTGACTGGTTCGGAAAGGCCTCGGCAACTTGATTTCCTAATAAAAAGTATTGACCTGCCTCTCAATGCGGTTACTGACTGGACAGAAAACGGCGTGATTGGTGAATTTAGTGCGAAGCCAGTTGAAGATGTAAGGAAAGAAAAGTTTGAACAACTTACCAGATACGCGCGAGAGATATTCTGTTCGCAGCCGCTTCGTCGATTTCTCCATGGATTCTGCTTGTATGAAACAGACCTTGAACTGTGGTTGTTTGACCGCTCAGGCGCATATAGCACGGGCATCATAAGCATCAGAGACAGCCAAGAGTACTTGGTGCGAGCAATCTCCTCTTATCTGCTCATGAGCAAGAATGAGCTTGGTTTTGATCAAACCATCAAGGAAAAGAATGGAGTGTACTTTGTCCAGATAAAGAAAGAGGGTTCCAAAAGCTCGAAAAAATATAAAATTAATCCTGTGCCCATTATCCGACCGAAGACATTGGTGAATTGTGGCACCACTTGCTTTGAAACGACAGACGAACTCAACATTATCAAGTGTTCGTGGAGCAGGGACCCAGGGGCCGCTGAAGTCAAACTTTTGAAAGAAGCAAGGGGGACAAAAGGCGTCGTGGAATACGTCATGTCCGACAAGATCTGGCAGATCAAAAATCATGTTCGAAAACTAGGTTTTTCGGGTGCTGTAGAATGGAGCATGGCTGGTAAAAATAAGCACATCTCCAAGGGCTCAGGGCCCCAAAAACCAACACTGAAACCATTCAAAAGAGATCGAAATCTCACCAGAGTTGTTGTCACACCACGCGGCTATCCCCTACACTGGAGTAGGACGATTCTTGAGTTTCTAGTCGTAATAAGAGACTCCATTGTGGCTCATCGGCGTCTTTATATTGAAAAAAAGATTCTTCACTGCGACGTCTCCGAGGGAAATGTCGTGCTAGTAAGACCAGATGGGGATAACAGCATACGAGGGATGTTGATTGACCTTGATCATGCTGTCTCATCCAATGTTGATACGAAAAAAGACGGCAATAGTTTATTGACAGGGACTGTGAAGTTCATGGCGCTCGAGAGATTAGACTGGGCTGTAACAAAAAACAAAACAATTCAGTGCACGTATCGTCATGACCTAGAATCGTTCTTCTACGTGTTCCTCGTCGGGTGCATAGAGTTTGAACGCGAAGATGACGCGGCGGAGATAGAAGAATTGCAAAATTGGAGCTCCAACAGTATATTCACCAGCAATGGCACGAAAGTCGCATGTGTGACAGGATTTCGCAGTCATATTTTGGACATATTCTCAACGAGTTTCTTTGACTTGAAGGATCTAGCCATAAAGTTACGAACAATATTGTTCGGGGAGTCCACAGTGGAAGTAGGCACACCTGATGATCCGAATCCCATGTATGAAGGAATGATAGCGGCATTCAGCAACACAATAGAACAGATTAGAGGTAAGATAAATCTTCCATAACATCAACTTTCATTGCATTTTTGCTCGACCCTTGCTAATAAATTATCAATGTATTAGGAGGTCAAATTGAAAATAGAGCTATAACTCTGGGATAACTACACAAAGTTCGTGGTAAATTTATCATCGATGTTAAAATCAGCATTTATCTGGATTCATCCTTAACTGATGGACAGGGAATAAACGTAGTAAAAGCTGATTGTTGGATGATATATTGATTAACAAAAACATGTCAGTCAGAAGCGGACATGCCAGCAAGTAAATGAGCTTTTACCTCAACATCTATTTTCACAAAACTGTAACAAGTGGTCAGAGTTGTAGATCTCATTCCTAATAGTATATAATATATCTTTCAACTTGTATGTGATCCTATTTATGCTCAGAGATCTATTCATGTCAAGTTATGTTGTTCTGGATATATTTATTGAGTTCCATTCATTGATATTCTGAGCCATGAACTAACGTCAACAATAGCTGTTAAAATACGCTATTAACCCTTGAAGATTGAATAATATGTAGAAATACATGTGAGAAATTGATTACTGACTACTATTTTGAGCTCATTTCATTTTGCTTGCTCAAGTATGCTATGGCCCATGCAGCTAGATGAATCTATAATATTTACAAAGGAGGATACCTATCTGGTTATAGCCCCCTGAAACTCATTTCTGCAAAATCGACCCCATCTAATCTCGCTCTGTAAAGTTTAAGCCTTAACATAGGAACGATGGAAAGTAATCCTTAGAGAACTTGTAATGATAAGAGGCTTTCTCCTGGCAACAAAGGATGAAATAACGCGTCGTAAGATCCCCAAGACACGCACATATTTGTAAAGAGGTTCAGACAAGCAATTAAAGAAGACAGCTTCGCTCCCAGAGCTTTTATGAAACTATTAGCGGAGGCCATTCAAGTGATTAAAAGCCTTCGGAAACCAAAAGCATCCCCGACTATCCTGAAGGCTTCGAACGTAGAAGATACCACAACGATGACTTAAATTCTGCAGGAAATACAGATCATTATAACCACGAATACAACAAATCAAAAGTCTACCCATAGAAACGAGCAGTCATGAGCGAAGAAGGCTAGTCAGCCTGAGATGGTTGGTACAATATTTGAGATTACCGTTGAAATTGAGAGAGAAAATATAGCCCAGCTAACAGATGAAGAAGTGGTGAAGAAAATAGGTGCCAGGGAAGTTATAGGGGCTAGGCAGATGAGGAGTAGGAAGGTGAAAGTCTTTATGTAGATCAGGCAATAAAAGATAGAATGGAAAACCATCGAGACTGGACACTTAATCTAGCAACTACAGCACATATGGCGAGTCCCATTCACCAAGTACTGAGCCAGAGAACCCTGAATATGTCGCAGCACTACAAGTGGTAGATGAGATATACGTCGAGGGGGTCAAGTTACAAAAAGCTAGTTGGCTCTATAAAGCAAATCAGCTGGGAAAACTTCAGAATCGTTAATTTCATGGTATTTATAAGCAGACCATGCGGAAAAAGCTATTATAAAAGTTATGGTTTGGCAATATGAAGTCAAAGCCATGGAGATCTTTCGTTTAGGATTCTTGGCAATTCAGTGCTTTAACTTTCAGAAGTTTGGCCTTACTGATAGGTGTTGCGCTGGAGATGGCCCGGATTTCGATGCACAAGGGTAATGATCACTGAGGGTGAGGGAAGAACTTACCGGGTGGTTCCATTTGTTGTAAAAATCTGAGTTCATAACTGCATACACCTTCAGGGGATAACTGTGCACCAGCAAAGTTAACCCCTTAGAGTCTGATCACTATTGTCTCCTGGTCGCTACACACTAACATCAACGTGTTCACTACAATGAGGACACCATTGTAGTTACTCTAGCTATCATAGACAATAACATGTAGAGGAATAAGGGTAGGAACTCGTGTATATAGATAGGGCCTTTTTACTTTCAGTATCTATACATCAATCATCCACAAAAACAATTCACCATCAATCAATCATCTTACTCTGTCAAAGTGATCTATTGAATCCTCCCATACCTATCAGTATTCTATTCACAAGGTGACGTCTCCCTATCCATCGCCCTCAGCCTTTCAATAGTGAAAACTATCAAGATTGGGCCGGAACCTGGGAAACAGGATTTGACATGATGGGTCTGAAGGAAGTACTAACTGGAGAAGTCACTCAACCAGAGAAGGCTTCTCCCAACTGGGAAGAGTGGAATACGGCAAACAAACTGCTCAGGGGATATCTGGTGTCTGCAGACAATTGTTCCTTGCAGAATATGATCACTAGCTGTCAGGAATACCTTATGTATAATCTATATTTGTGGAGATAGCTAGAATCTAGTGTTCTATGATTCTGGTCTGGCCTTTTGGCCGAGTGGTTATACACCAATCTCATGCATAATGTAGGATGGCAACCTCAGGCCTGGCATTCTGGTCTTGAGCCTTGTCTCTGCTGTCTACATGTTGCTTCTGACACCGGCAAGCAAACTGCCAGAGATGCTTTGGCCAACATCAAGGCTCGCTTCGACAGGGAAACACCATCAACAACCCTGTCATTATTGCGAAATCTTGTCAACCTCAAACTTCAAGAAAATGAGAACGTAGCCAGTGTTGTGGTTATGAGCTGTGAGGTATATAGCAATTATGTCTCTGCTGTCTGTCGGTGGAATTACACGGGCTCATGTGCAATGGTGAGTCGCGGAGATGGCGCGCTCACGCTGGTTGATGGCACGATGGACACTGAGTGCGTATCACTGTGGCCAAATGGGTGTCAGTAGGTATCAAATGTGAACTCTTACTGACGATGGTGATCTATGAAGGTGATGCTAGATGTGCATCCCGACAATTGATAATATCATCTAATGGATGATGTGAAGTATGATATTATATGGATAGATTGATTCACTAAACTCGGCAGGTGAAGAGATTGTAGAGTACATGAACAGCGTCTGTGCACCAGCCTGTATTTTCCACCCTTTCCTAATCCAGCAGCCCATCCTCCGTTCCCCTGTCTCCTAACAACTCCACCGAGCCAGCACAACAGCCAGCCACTTAAATAACTTCACCAATGCATGGGATTGTCTTTACCAAAGGTCCCTTACCTCCAAATCCAGCGTTGCACAAGCATTTCGAGATGTTACCTCATCTGATGAAGTCAAAGGCGCGTTCTTACTACTCTCACTCCCAAAATCCAAGGACAACATTGTCAACAGCCTTGCAACAAAAGACTTGATCAAATACCAGGACATACAACCAAAGCTCTTGGACCTCTCCGCTGATAGGAATGTCGGTGAAGCTGACAGCAAAGCCCATCACTCATCAACCCAAGAGGCAACAGAATGTTCATGGTGCAAAATCAAGAAGTTCAATTACAAGGGACACACCTACAAGAATTGTTTCAAACTTAAGAAACATAAAGAACAACAGAAGAAAGCCAAGGCAAAGAAGAAGAGTGCTTCACAAAATGAAAATGCCAAAAGAGTCTCAGAACTAGATGACAAACTTTAAGACAGGGCTTTCATGGCCAACTCTTCTTCATCTACTCGAAAAGAATGGATTGTTGATACAGGTGGCACCACTCACATGACTGGCTGCATTGACAACTTTGAATCAGTTACACCCCTACAAAATAAAACTGTACAAGTTGCCAATAACAACTACACCCCAGTCACTGGCAAAGGTACCGTTTGTCTCCGCGCTTTAACCAGCGACAGACGACTGCAAAATATTCTTCTACACAATGTTCTTCTGGTGCCCTCTTTTGGACAGACTAGGTTGTTTTCATGAGAAAAATTAAGGGAGATAGGATATGAATTATTTTCTAAAGGCTACAATACATTCATAAGAGATAAAAATAGGCACGAGTTTCTGTGGGTGACAGCAAGGGAAAATTTGATTGTAATCATGTCAGAAGAAATAAAAGCTCGCTTCTCCTCCTATTGTGAATTTCATGAAGCTTTGGGACACCCTGGTGTAACAACCATCAGAGACCCTTCTAAACTATACACAGACAGTCACAACCTTCCTTCACTACCCCAGACCTTTAACTGTCCTGCATGCAAAAAAGCTAAGTCCAAGCACATTGTTCCTGATCCAATCCATGAGGATCCCAGTAACGTTTTTGAAATTATTCACTCAGATCTTTCCGGAAAATTCTCTGTTCCCTCTTTAAACGGCAAGTATTACTACATCACCTTCATTGATGGAAAATCACGATTCTCCTGGGTCAGATTCTTACGAAATAAAGATGAAGCCGCCGAAGCTATCATTGACTTTGTCAAACTTATCCACAGACAATTAAATACAAAGATCAAGCGATGGAGGACTGACGACGGGGGAGAATTCGTGAATAAAACCATCAACTCATTCTTTAAATCTGAAGGAATAGTTCATGAACTTTCGCCACCCTACTGTGACGACCAGAAGGGAGCACAGGTTAGCAGATGAACAAGTCGAATCAGGTAAGGACTCAGATCTGGAATATAATTCATAAGATTCTAAACTAAGGGAAGAAAATAACAAGAAGTATCTAGAGATATACATATATACATAATTTACAGTTGGTCCGTGCATATGTAGGATCACAACACAATACTTGGAAGGAACAATAGTATTAGAGGCCCCGGGGGTCAGGAATACACGGCCGTAACACCTACAAACATGAGAGAAACGGACTGGCTGAGCGATTTAATCAAACGTTAACTACAATAGCCAGAACAATGATAGCAGACTTAAGCCTAAACTTTTGGACAGAAGCCATATCAACTGCCAGCTATCTTAAAAATCGCCTTCCTCATTCACAGCAACCTCATAATACAACGCCATATGAGGCCTTACAAGGCAACAAACTCACAATCAACCACCTTCAACCCTTCGGCAGAAAATGCTTCGTTCACATACACAAGGACTCGCGGCCCTCAGGTTCAAAGCTATTGTCAAGGGCAATCGAAAAAAATTCATGGGCTTCATGGAGAGCACTACAATATTTTGAATATGGATCCCCTATGAGCAC